CAAATTCATAAAGGTGTGTGATATAGGAGCAATTCAGCTACACGGAAGATGTATGTATGTTATATTTTTGATGCATGAACGGCTGTTTCTCCCCTTCTTTCTGTATGTACCAAGATACTGAAACAATGAGTCAAGACACATTTGTATGTGTTGGTGTTACGTTGTGAGGCACAGGATCAGTAGGAAATTAGACATTGCAACGTGGGACTTTCAGAAGAAAGTGTGAATAGGAGCCAACAAGAATGTAGCCACCTAAGAACCCAGGGAGGTTGGATGGTCCTCCTCCTCTCCATTTCATTGTCACAGCAACCCAGTAAGGTAGATTGTGGTGGGAATCAATAACTGGCACAAAGTCATCCAGTGAGTCAAGTGGGAACCAAACACTGGATTTCCTAAGTCAAAGTCCCAACACTATACTCTACTTACTGCAACCGCTAATCAGATTCAGAGCTAGGCTGGGAAAGCTAAACCATTTCCCTAAAAAGTCAGGCAATCACTTAATTTTATTCTGGTTCTAATCCTGAAACAAACTGGTTCCATTTTCACCCTGATAGAAGGGAACTGGAATAGATTTGGACACTGATGAATGGGTAGCCTGAAGGAGGACTACTTCTGCTCAAGATTATCAAGTATGGAAGGAATGGGAATTCTGGTTTAAAACAAAGTCTAGGCAATTGCTAAGCAAACCAACAAGAAACATTGGCATTTTTAGCAACTTGCTTAACAAGTAAGAGTTGATTTTAAACCACAATTCTGATTTCTGCATGTCTGTAAGGCAAGTAGCTAAACAAGGCAGGAGGAAGTGATGAGTAATGAGGAAGTGGGGAGTGTGCAAACCAAAAGCTCATCTACAAAGAACTGAGTCTGACTGAGTGCATGTGCAGTTGGGGGGATGCATAAGCTGTTGCTAAGTAGGAATTTCCTGCCTTTTATAAAAATGCAATGACCATGTGACAAGTGATAATTTAGAAGGGGTACATGTGATGATGAGGGAATGTTTTGAAAATGTTGATGCCAAAAACTGGGATACTGTAGTCTGATCTAAAAGAGTAATGCATGTTCATGGGCAAATGTTGACCGAAACTCGACATAAATGCAGTTTCCAACGTGGAACAAAAATGTGCACTATTAAAATGACATTGTATAGATGTCATAGTTCAAATATTTCCATCTATCCTAGACTCAGTTTCGCAAGCACTCAAGTACGGTTTTGGAATATTAAGGTTAGCTGGACTGTTGATATGAATTAATTCCTAAGTTCAGTAACTTAGGGTACTCTCTCTCTCTCTCTCTCTCTCTCTGTCTAGTAATGATAAATATGTAGATGTTCCTGCTTTTTTCTTCTTCCAACATTCAGTGCTATCTGCTAGAATTTAAAGCTTTGTGTGCTAGTCACCTTTTAATTTCCCTTGAGCATGTAATAAAGTATTGCCAACAAATTCCTGTCAAGGTTATGTAGACTCTCCCTGGATAAATTCTTTACTGGCAAAACACTTAATTCATGGACAATACTGTAAAGAAATTAGGGTGGTTCTGAAATTTCATGGTCAAATGTGCCATTTTGGAAACTGGAAATACTTATTTTTTAAAAGACCAGTGCCCTGGGGGCGGGAAAATAGTGTTATGATGGCAAGGTTGTTGGCAACAATTACTCTGAAGGAACTGATCTGCAGTGGAGTAGGCAATATGCTCCCCCATCTCTTCTTCTCCTGTAAAGGGACAGATGTGTGGTGGTATTGCTGTGGATGTGCCTTCCTGGAATCAGCCTTTACAAAGAATTGTCTTTGCAGAGTGTTAGATACAACACCACCGTGTCCTTTTTTGGACAATAGATGTGGGGAGCTGCACTGCAAGCTGTTTCTTATGAGTGGCAGTCTACACTGTATAGTAGGGAGACAGAGGCTCAGTAACTGGTTAAAGAACAAACATCAGAAGCTAGGAATAAATGGTTTGTTCTCCCAGCAGAAAGTTGTAAACAGTGGGTTCCTGAGGGTTTTGGTGTTTGGACCCTTAAATGTTATAGAAGCTGGGATTGTTTAGAAAAAAAGGCAAATAAGGAGAGACATGGTGGGGGAGGACACAATTATGCATGGCATAAAGGAAGTAGATAGAGAAACACTGTTCTCCCTCTTTCATAATTAGGGATGGTGGAGAAATTGGCAATGGATTTAGATGAGTTGGATCCAAACCATCGATTCCACAGTAGACCAGCTTTTCCTGAGCCATGCAAGTCCTATTTTTTTTAAATTGTGCACAAGTTAATGCAAATTTAGTCATATAAACATACTTTTTAAAAAAGGCTAAAAAGTGCATTCCCTATAGGACAAACTGTGAAAGTGTGCATGCTTGAATGATTTGTACACCCAGCCCAAATGCGTATGAATGCATTTGTGGAAAATCTAATTCCACCACTGAGCCAGCAACAGAAAAGAAGACACCCCAAAGTCTGTGAAACATGGATATAGCAGTTTTTTAAAAAGTTCATACATCCCTTATGTTAGAATATACCACCATTCCATGAAGCGAATTGATGGGCACTTGAGGACAGATAAAAGTGCTTCTTCACGCAGTTAAACTATTTCCACAAGTACTGATGGCCACCATTTGGATGGTTTTAAAAGACGATTGGCCAAATTAATTGAGGAGAGGGCATCTGTGGCTACTAATATTAATGACTATATGTGCTCCAATAGCCAAAGTATATTTGCTTTATTCCTTTTCCTTTTTGGAATCCAGTTTTAATATTAGACATTTCTTACTGTTACTCTTTTTAGTACTAAAAGTGAACTTTCTATGGCAAATTGTCTGCTGTTAAAGCAACCTGTCTTGGAATTCCTTCACTGCTCAGAGATATTGCAGGATGTAAATGCATGCCTATGCGAACTCTTTTCAAGGAATACACAAAACATGGTGGTTTGGGTTCTATGTACCCTGTAGCAGCTATTTTAGCATCACCAAGTGTGCTACATTAAGTCATTTCTGATATCACAGCGATAGCAGCTGGCAAGAGTTTGGAATATAAATATCCTGGTGCCAAAGTACTCCCGGATTTAGGAAACAAGCAGTAAAAACAAAGTTGGCCAGCAGTCAGTGTAGTCTTGCCAAGATTTCTGAAACTTATCACTCCAGTGGGTACTGTCTGATTAATCAAATATAAATGTCAACTGAACTCTTGAACCTTCAGCGTCTTTGTCTTAAAAAGAATAAAATCTTCATTTCATTTGGATACAGAAATAAAATATAATAGCACATCAGTAATAAAACTTTCTAAAGTTGGTTTGCATCTGTAAAACATTACTGTCTGTGCCATTAGTCACTAACTTAGCAATACTGAATTGCCTGGAAAGGCAATTAAAAGGTTTGTACACAAACAAAACAAATGTTGATTTTTTCTGTCACATCCTGACCTATTTTTTATTTTCACTGAGCAATAACCTCTCTACAATCCATCCTGAATTACCTTAAGTACATTTTCAAGAGTAGTTAATAAACTCCTCTAGAAAGCCAGGAGGCATACAGATAAATGCCTTGCATATCAATGCAAATAAATGTTTTCAGACATTAAGTGTTGTAATCTATTTTAAACCCATTGTCTTAAAAGCACATGCCTGAATGCTGAACCCTGGGGTCATTTCATTGCATGTGCATTTATTTTTAGCACCATGTTTGCTAAGAAGGGCCAATTTCCCTAGTAAGATGTGCCATCACTTAGTTACAGGCCAGAATTCTCTTAAATACCTAACTGTTGCAAAATTGACAGAGCTGTGTGTGATTGCTGTTCTGAGCCATTTTGGGAATGGGAGTAATTTTTTGCATTGCCCAAGTTGACAATAGGTGGCACTGCGTTAGATGTATGACAGTACATTTAATACCATTCATAGTAGTTCAGATATATTGTTCAGTACTCCAGTACATTAAGGGTGAATCCAGTTGGTTGTGCAATTATTTTGAAGGATTTTTTCCTTTTTTTGTCATTCTAGGTTGTATTTTTAAATTGTTTTGCTGAATATTCCTATCAATCATGAGTAAACTGACACAATATATATGCTTGTGCGTATGTGCATGTGTGCAATGCCAGTGTTCTGAAAAGTCAATATTGCTTCATTCTATTATTTACCATTTCATTGTACTCATTGGCTTTTGTCTCTTGCTTTTAAAAAAGCTACAACTTGTTCTTCTATGTGGTCTCTGTCTATCACACATATGGGCTTTTGTGCCAGTGTAAAACCTAGCTATAACCAATTCTGAGTCCTTGGGAAGGAAAAGCTCAGGAAAAGCTACAGAATTGAATTGTCCTGTGAGACATTTTCTTTTGGCCCAAATACTGAATTCCTAATGAAATGTATTGTAAAACCATTTTTAAGTTGGTAGGGAAAACTCAGGGATTTTATTATACCTAGTGTAATAAAAATCAATAAGCATAGGGAATATAGCATGTCATTGGTTTGTCTCACACAGTATTGGCCGACACTCTCAGTGTTAGACCAGATCTTCCTGGCCCACCCTGGAGATTCTAGATAGTGAGATTACTGCCTCCCCTGCTTGTTCAACATGGGCTCTGCCACTGAGCTGTAAGCTAGTATGGAAAACTGGAGACCTTTCCTGTACCTGTTTCTTCTCTTATGAAATTGCTAATATAAACTTATAAGACATACATACATAGTATAAGCACATATATAAACGTAACTGCAAAATGGAAGGTTTTATAAGCATGACTGTCAGAATCTGAGGGCAAAGCATCTATCTGAAGAGAGCCCCATTCTTGATGCAAACTGGACCCAGTTTTGCTGAGTGCTGATTTCATGCAACACAAATGAATGGTGGTTTCTGTATAGAGGCCATTTGTTGTGAACTGTGTACAGAGATGATGATATGTGGCAAAAAGGAACAGCAGTGTTGTAACAGCAGTGTCACAAAGGGCTGTTTCACTTTTCCTGAAAAAGTTGATGCATATCTCCATATTTACCTGGGGTTTTTTCTCTCTCTCTCTGTTTCATCAGGCTCATACATGATAGTGGATTCTTCACACCACAGCCATGGAGAAAAGGCTCGCCTCCAGCTTCCTACGATGAAAGAGAATGACACTCACTGTATCGATTTCAGCTACCTTTTGTACAGCAAAAAGGGGGCAAGCCCTGGAACACTGAACATCTTAGTTAGGGTAAACAAAGGTCCTCTGGCAAATCCTATTTGGAATGTGACAGGCTCCACCGGCAAAGACTGGCTGCGGGCAGAGCTGGCTGTCAGCACCTTCTGGCCAAATGAATATCAGGTAAGTGTAGATCCAAAGATACATACATGATTATACCAGTTTTGCATCTACTATCAGCATACACTGTTCCTTCATTTCCTGGCAGTATATTCTTGAAACAGTGCTAGAGAATGAAAGTCCTGCTAAAACCTCTCAGTAAAGAAAGACTACAGGACAATAATCCAGAAGCAATCCAGTACCCTTTTGTCTTTGGAAATATAGGGCACTCTCCGAACTTGAATCTGACTTAAATTTTTCTTTACACCCAAGTCTAGGTGTTTATGTATTCGTCTGCCTAAGCATTCTTAGTCACTTCTGCAGCAGGCAATACTCTGACATATTTAATTGTAAATGTTTTGGATTTCCATGTATTAATCTGCACCACTTATCATGACTCTGCTTTCTTTTATTTTCTACATGAGCACAACTGCTTTTTTCTCCCAGTCGCCCATTCTCACCAGAGAACCTACCACTGTGGTTGCATAATCCTTTCCTCTTGTAATCTTACAATCCAGTAACCCTCCAGATACTTTGGAAATGCAGTTCTCAGCATCCCTCATGACTTGCTGTGCTGGTTAAGGCTGATAAAAGTTGCATTTAACAGTATCTGGGAGGCCATAGAATTCAACTACCCCTCCCTCCCAACAATCAGGGCTCTGATTGTTGCACCTAAGTAGTGCTCCTCAACTCTCAAGAAAAGCTGAGAGATAAATTGCATGTTACACACACATGTACATAATGGGAGCCTGATGGCTCTTCTTTTGATTGAAGAGCCTCTTCGGAGGGAGTGACAGAGGTAAGAGAAGTGAAGAGAAGAAAGAAAAGGTGGTGCTTAGCTCTTTCCTCTACTTGTTCTCTCTGCCTGCCTGCTCCCTTCCTCTCTCTTTCTCTCTCTCTCTCAGCTTTTGCACTTGTGTGATTCCAAGCTTTCTTCATCCATTTGAAGAAAGACATATGAGTAGATGTCTTCATAACTTACCATGCATATACTGCAGGAGACATAACATGGGCAGGAAACAGTATACTAAGTGATATGAAAAGGCCTTTGAGAAGTAGGGAAATGTCAGTGCAAATATTTCATTAAGTCACCAATATGGTGTTTTACAGATATTCTTTAGTGCGAGCTAGAACTATACTTCTGTTTTCCCTGCCATTTGATGCTTTGTTTAAGCACACACTAAAGCTAACACTAAGAGAAAATTAACTCTCTCCCATTTTTTCTTTGTCAAATGAGGAAGAGATTGAAACTCTTGTTTACACCAGGTTTCTAGTATAGTAAGGTGTACCTAGTTCTAAAAGCCACTTAATGGAGTGTAGCTGGAAGCCATATACCGTATTTTTCGCTCAATAAGACACACTTTTTCTCCCCTCAAAAGTAAGGGGAAATGTCTGTGCGTCTTATAGAGCGAATGTGTGTGTGCCCGACGCCCAGGATACTGCTGGCCGCCTGCACCACGTGGCACCACCTGGCCGGCACGTGCTTGGCGCACCCTGCTCCGCCCCCCCTCCAGCGCAGGTGAGAGCTGTGCCACTCGGGAAGGCGTGCGGAGGAGGAGGAGCCACGGCCTTTAACTCGCCGGCCACACGGAGAGCACGGAGAGACGGACTGCTCACCTCCACCGCCCAGGAAGACCTGCCACTGCCGCCACCATGCCGCCCAGAAGACCATTGCCGGCACACTGCCGGCCACCTGCACCATGTGGCACCACCTGGCCGGCACACGCTCGGCACGCCCTGCTCCGCCCCCCCCCCCGCACAGGTGAGAGCTGTGCCACTCAGGGGGAGGCATGCGGAGGAGGAGGAGCCGTGGCCTTTAACCCCCCAGGCCACACTGAGAGATGGACTGCTCAACCCCACCGCTCGAGAACTGCTCACCCCCACCGCCTGGGAAGACCTGCCACCGCCGCCGCCGTTGCCACTACCGCTCTGCCCGGAATACCACCGCCAGCACGCTGCCGGCCCCACGTGGCACCACCTGGCCGCCACATGCTCGGCACGCCCTGCTCCGCCCCCCCTCCTCCGGTGCAGAGGAGAGCTGTTAATCACAGGTTGGTGTGTGTTTTCAAATGGCAACACGTCTTTTAATGACGCCCATGGGGAAGTGATGGGGAATGTGCCTGTGATTATCAGGAAGCTTTCCATGGATCAGTTATCTGTTAGTTGATCAGACACTTTTTTTTTAGGATCAGTGGATATTTGAACAGTATTACCTTCGTGTATGAAGTTTATTCAAAGGCTACTTAGTCTGCTGTGTGTTTGATTTACCGTACAATATCTCATTTTTTGTCAGAAGTTTTTTTCTATTATTTACTAGTAGGGCAGCATGGACATTACTGCCTTTTTTAGATTTGTTATTGAATTGTCTGCAGCAGCTCTTGTATAACTGGTGTAGATTGTGGATTCCTTCAATAATGCCACTATTGACTAAGAAAGTGATGTCAGTGATTGTGAGCAACAGAGCTTCATAAATTCTGACTCTAGTGATGATGAGTTCTATGGGTTCAACGAAAACTAGAAGAGTACTCGAACTTTAAAGTCTCTCTTTTGTTAATGACAGTGATGATGGTTCTTAATGCCACTGTTGACTGCTGTTCACTTTACAAGGTGCCACAGTATTACTGTATTCTGTTATAGTTTATTAAATAGTTTAGTAAACCATTTGCTTCAGAATATTTTTTTTTCTTGTTTTCCTCCTCTAAAAACTAGGTGCGTCTTATGGTCAGGTGCGTCTTATAGAGCGAAAAATACGGTAATCTTGTACAATATCATGAAGAGAGAGAGTCTGTCAGTGTGCATTGTTTCCTCTCTCTCTGAATGGTGTGCCTTTTCTCCTCCGTTTTGTAAGAGCTTCCTTTGAGGGTATGAGGTCAACACAGCTGCTTTAAAAAGTACTGACTTATTTTTGGTTTCTTTACAATGCTAGTTTAAATGTTGCCTTACACTACAGAGCATGGCATGAATGTCTCCTTTGTTCAGCTGCAATTCTCTGTGACAATGCTCCAGTTCACTAACTCTGCTGGTTGCATGTTCGCCTGTAGAGAGTTTAGCAAACACTAGTGGAATGCTGCATGCGCTTAAGACAGGATTGACAGCTATGAATTTGCTTTTAAGAGGTGTGTTTATAACATGAAACAGGCTTATTCATGCCTACACGTCCTGTATTACAGGGAACTAGCATCTGAGATAAATAAAACGTATATCAAATGCATGCGTAGTCTCCCATGTTGGGTCACAAGGGAGTAGTATCATGGCAAAGATAAGACAGAGGCTTATGCTAGTCAGTCACTTCCATAGTATTTCACGTCTGTAGGATGTGAGAACAAGAATGCCACCAAGGTTATGCTGTCATTTCCTTTCTGCTGCTCACCCTCAAAATGATTCACTCGGGTAATAGAAAGTTAGCTTGCAACTGGTAGGTGGCTTCCACGGAAGGGCCTGGAAAACATTATTTGCTTGGAAATAACTGCTTAGAAATTGGCACATACATGAATCCCTTGTAATCAACTGGCTCTGTTTGGTTTTGTCAGCATCACTTAATAGACATCGATCTGGCTGGGAAAAATGGACATGAGCTCTGGGAATGTGTTGTGCCATTTGAACATAGGAGACTTTGGGAAACCTGTCTTGACAAAATACGAGTTGGGGTGAGAGGCAGCCTTTGTGGAGGTGTGAAAACTAAGTCAAAGAATGAAGGAGCTCCCCACTGGGACCCGCCTGGCACCAGCTTTGCTGTCTTTTCAGCACTAGATTAAGACCTCCTCTTTACCAAGGACTTTACATAGCCCATGGGCCTGGCACAGGGAGTTTTGCCAGCTGTTTTTTTTTTTTAGCAGGCCCAGCAGAATGGATTGGTTTAGTCATTAAAATGTGGTTTAGAATTTGTAATATGATGTTGTAATGCTTGTATATATTTTTTTCTGCTGCATTTTAAAGTATTTATTCATGGTTGTTCGCCACCCAGAGAGCTTCAACTATATATGATTTTCAGTTTAGTTGCTGCTAACATTTTAACTTGTAACGTTATGTTTTTTTATATGACTTACATTGTATTATTGAATAATTGCTTTATATCCTCCTCTCAGTTAATTAATCATTTAGCTATTTATCTTATATATTTAATTTATTATTATCGGTTATTTTTATTACTGTTAATTTTATTGATATTCTTTTTATTGTATTGTTGATTTTATTGTGTTTGATTGTATGTAAGCTGCCCTGAAAACCTATGGTTAATCAGGCAGCATATAAATCAAATAAACAAATAAATATGGGTGATAGAGAAATAAAGTGAATCATCATCTTCTCAAATCCATCTTTCTTGAGGACCACAACTAAAAGGCCCTTGTTCAAAGGACAGTGGGATGCACAGTAGTCCATTCATTCTGAATGGGAACAGTGCTGAAATAGCATATTGGTGAAATAGCTTAAGAAATTATAGGAATTCTCTGTAAGAATACAGAAGTGAGGATTCAGATTGAATGGTTCCCCCTCTCTTGGAATGAGCTGGAAAAACTGAGCTTGCACTTTTCTTCTGTTACACTATTTCAGTGCTGCCTTTAGCTGAATAAATGAAATAAGCATGATAATGCCCTCTGTTCTATCCTAAATCTTGAATGATATTGGAACAAATTTATTCAGAACATGACCGAAAGTGTAAAAATCAATAGAAAGTGTCTCCATGCTGTTTAATAAGGTCATAACTCTGTACCACCCTGGTGTAAAAACAAAACAAAAAAACATGTCAGACTAGTGGAAGATGTTCTTGAAAAGACTTCCCACAAAGGCTTAAACATTTGTAACAGTTTCTGGTTGCACTTCTGTCAGTATGAGGTTTTAGCTTATACATAAGCTTGGTGGGAAAATGTGTGCTTGTTTTAAAAAGAGTAATGCTAGATAGGAAAAGACTTCACTGGAGCAACTGCTGCTCCAGTAAAGGAGTATCAATTTGGTGCTTTATTAGTGAGGTCCTGCAGGCTTCTAGTGAGACAAAGGCCCAGGCTGGTGGTCAGTCAAATTCAGAG